GGTGATCAGCTAGAGGTACGAGCAGTTGAAAAGTTTTTAGAATGATCTTAATGTTGTCCTTGCTTGGTTACTGGGAAGTGGAAGAAAACTTGGCGCCTTTGACTACTCAAGCCACATAGCATGTACTCCACAATAGGCAAGAGATTGTGTTGACACTGGTAGGACAAGGATAGAAAAGTGGCTAGCCATCTATACATATAAAGCGATAGCGGGGAGGCTTGCCGGCCGTTGGATCCCAGGCCCGGGCCAGGGTCAGTAGCCATGGTTGCGTGAGAAATTTTTCGGATGTTTGCTCTTGGCCAATGGGAGGCGGCCAAGCTGCGTGGGGCGGGAGAAGAAGGCACAGTGACGGTATATATCGCGCAAAAAATGACAGCATTCGAATGTTAGTAGAAACAACAAGCTTAAAACGTAATGGCGAAAGAACAAAAGAACTTGATTCATATGAGGCGGACGAGCAGATTGAAGAGCTTGGTGTTATACTATTGAGACCATCTTCTCGTCGATCGTCGTTCGATCGATCGATCCCAGTTGTATCGGATCGGGTCAGAACGCCAAACTCGTCCGCGCAGAGATCGCCATTTGCTCTGATTTCTAGCACTTGGTTCGTGTGGAATGAAAGCACGAAAGAGAGATTGGACTAAACCGGGATGGTATGAGTTTGATCGAGGCCAACGTAGCAATCTGAGACGAGGAACAGCGCTATCTCCTGGAATCACGAAAACAAACAAGAGAATCAATCCAGGAAAAATTTCATCATGATCCTCTTTACCTGTGTTCCCGCAGGAACTCTTGGCACTGCAACGCTTGTGCTGAGACGCTTGTCTTTGATGCTCACGCGCCTCATGGCGAAGAGCTCCCAAGTACTTGTGCTTCCTACAACGATCCACCATCCCTCTTCCTTGGACTAAAAACCAAGCACAAGAGGAAAATGTAAAAAGTGTTACTCAATCGAAACTGCGAGACTCACTTTCGAGTATCGAGGCAGGAAAGCTCGAGTGCTGCTTCTCCTTGTGTTGTTGGACTTGACTTCGATGTCTATTGCGAACGACGTGAACTTGTCCCCCTCACTCAGCCTTTGATCTCGCATCCTCCACGTAAGATCGATTCGTGGAAGAAAATTCCATGCCTGGCAATGCAACAAGGACCAAAGTCACAAACAAGAACCCACCCGTCAAGCGTGGAGATAATCACCTGTATGACTTCGTGAACTTGGGACTGAGACATAAAGCGCTCGAACAGCTTGCGCAAGCGTTGTGACGGCAAGGACAGGAACTCGTCCAACGTAGCGAATGGCAGCGAAGGCAAGAGCTCCGTGGTTGTGTTTGGCAGCATGAGCAAAGGCGAATGATCAGACCATGTTCCCTGTCAGAGACGCGAATTATAATAACATCGCAATGAAATCATCAGCTCTACCTGCATAATCATCTGCAAGAGTTGCATAGCCCGAATGGTCGTTCTCAGCCATCCTCCATTGGCCGCAGCATCCACCATCGCTTGAAGTATACGTATGCTTTGGTCCAGCACTGACTTCGTGTCTGTCACGTAGTCAGAAATTGGCAGCTCCAGTCGTGAGAAATGAGCCTGATAAAATGAAACTTCAGCGCTGGATTCACGAGCTAGTCGTTCTCTGTTTTACCTGAAACAGCAAGTTGGCCTTCACATGAGGGTCATCTAGCAGCTTATTGTCCACACGCATTCGTGCTTGCTGCGCAAGAATCGCATTCAGGTTTTCCTGGAAGGTTGTGCTGGTCAGTAAACGAAAACCCGAAGCGGCTGTACCTCGTTATGCCGGACAGGAAGCTCGTCATACTCCGCAGCAGATGAAAGCAGCTGTAATAGCTCCTGCTCACAAAGATCAATCAGCCACAGGTCTACCTTTTCAACGATCGTACCTCCAATGAACTCTCAGAGTGTACGTTTGAGCTGAAAAGTGCTACTGTTGTGTAGTGAAGATAGTATTTTGAAGCAATGAGTCCCGGCATCTGTATCTCTACGTTGTCTTCGCTCACTTTGATGCACCCAGCGTCATCTAGTGCTTCAAGTGTGCCATTTACAAGACTAAAAGAGAGCAAAGCAGTCAATGTTAAGAGAGCATCGGCAGAAAACATCACCTTGACAAGAAATGATTGACGGACTCAGCTGCTGTGTCTTCCAAACCGTAGTAGCTTGGATTCATAACCAGCCGCCGGTACAGATACGTCCATGTCAAATAGTAAAGAGCATCTTGCTTTGTTGCAATTGTTCCAGCAGCTATCTCTGCGTTCAAGTGATTATGAAGGTGGTGAACCAAGCTGCTTTCAACTGGAAAAGGTTCATATAAAAACTGCCACCGTTCAGAACGTTAAGATGGATCGGTCCAACGTCGTTGAGCTATCAAACCTTCTTGTAGAAGCTTTTCTTCGGTTCATGAACCAATATTACAGCCTTTCCGTGTTGATCGAACTGGGGCCGTCCTGCCCGGCCCATCATTTGCAATACATCCGTGATAGGATAATCAATGTAGCGTTTAGACTTTCCATCAAAATACTCGGTCCCCTACACAAAAAAGATTTCCCAATTCAAGACAACAATCAAGTAGCAAACGCATACCTTGATTACAACTAGATGTGCTGGGAGATTGATTCCCCAAGCTAAAGTGCTCGTGCAAACTAAAACCTGTTCAGAAAACAAAAGGTATATCGACCATCGTAAAAACGAAAAAGTGTTTACCTGAATTTTGTTGTTGTAAAAGAGCTCCTCAACTAGAGTTCTGTCACTGTCACAGAGACCAGCATGGTGCAACCCGATCCCAAACTGCAATGTGTGCTTTAGACTACTATCCACAACCTTGTACAGAATCATGCTGTTGTCCTCTTCATTCATTTGCAAAAACTGGCGTGGCTGTTCGTCTTGGGCTGCGAACTGGTACAATGAAATTACAAAATGCCATCGAACAAAAGCTAAATGGCATACCTGAATGAGATCGAAGGCAGTAAGTCGAGTTTGACGACGAGAAGAGACAAATATCAAAACCGGCTTCAAAGGCGAGTGTGTTCTGATAGCAGCGTAAGTTGGTTTGTTCATGCTATTCATTCGAGGGCAGTAAAACTTCCCAGGATATCCCTGTAGGAAGCAGCAAAGCGTTGCAGTAGCAGTACATGTTTTGTTTAATTTACCTGTATATGAACTTCTAGTGGTACTGGGCGAACGCTTGGCTTGAAATTATACAGTCCAACATTTTCAATGCCCAGCCAGTCTCCCAAATCCCTGAAACAAAATATTAAACGTGAGTCTTGCATGCCTAAGACTCACTTTGCATTCGCAAGGGCCGTTGACAGGCCAACAAATCGAACATGACGAGCGGTTTGAGAAGAAATATAGCGCATCCGGGATACTATAACCTGCATACCAATTACGTTATTTCCTGACAACTTTACTATCAAAAGAGACTTCCACTACCTCAAGGATCGGACCTCTGTCTGCGCCTAGCAAATGTATTTCGTCAATGATCATCAGGCCGACCTTTGTAACGTAGCTTCTGTTGTGCCAACTACGACTAATACCGTCCCATTTTTCAGGAGTTGAAATGATGATATCTGCTTCAAGCAACGCAAGTAAATCCGGAGTAAAATCGCCCGTTAATTCCACCTACAACACAGTTGAATCGTCATAAAAACTACTGGAAAATTGACATACCAGCTTCTTTCCAAGCGTGGGTACCAGACTTTTCTTCCAGTCGTCAACTCTTTCCCGTACAAGAGCCTTTAAAGGAGCAATGTATATGACCTGAAGTGCACAGTTCTTAGCTACGACATCTCTAAAAACAGAAAGATGTTACCTTCATATCTGGTTGTGTGTTAAAAAGGCGAAGCATGGCAAGCTCTGAGGATATTGTTTTTCCACTCCCAGTTGGAGCGCCCAGCAGAACATTATGATCAGTTTGGTACAAAGTGTGAAAAGCCTGCAAACGACATTGAGTCACCGGTAACTCCTTAAATGGATGACAGTACCTGCGTTTGGATAGGATTGAAATGTGAAAACTTGTATCGTTCTTCATATTTCTGGTTTTTCAAGGCTGACACCGGCAATGGTCGAAGGTTTAGTAGCTCGGTGTGTGGAGGGTGGAGCTGCGTAGAGAACAAGAGCGTGATATACAGTCATGCTAGCAAACACGAAACGTACCTCTGGTAAGATAAGATGCTGAAAAGAGAGTGTATATAGGTAGGACGCTTGTAACCACGTGTCCGAAATGGTACGAATGTAATACTGCGAGGGAATTGGCTCAAAAATGGGAATGGTGAATGAAATTGTCTGGCTTCCTTCCGCCACCATTTTCTTGGTCAATGTCCAGTGCTCCGAGTGGTAAATATGCTCGTTATCCGAATCCTACAGTTACAACCAGCTTCAATTCGCTACCAAAGACTTGGTCGACATACCTCCACCCAAATCCACCATCTTAAAGCCGTCCCATGAAACCTGTCCTTCCAAGTAAAATCCGCGGTAATAGTTAAGGTGACCTACAACCGAAGAAAAAAGTTGAGATTTTGCTACATACAGAAACGCTCATTTACCTGAAGAACAGTCCGCGTAATTGGACTCACGTTTGCAGACAGATTGATGAACGGGAAGTGATCCATACATTGACGTACCAGCTGAAATCGAATAACGTTGGAGGCTGTTACTTGAAGAGCCATTTACCTTTCCCCCATAGGGACTGCTGATCAAAGAGCCAATCTCTTTTTCATTCATGTCATAAAGTTTATCCAAGTCAGCACCGCGGTCTTCCAGTTTACGCAGCACCTGACAGAAAAGACTTAGAGCCGAAGCAAAAGCGATTCTAGCAAGCCAACCTCGGGGGAAAGGACTCCGTGAAATTGTCGCAAAGGATGCTGATGAGGCCAAATACGGTGGTCTACAGCCTTGCAATATTCTAGAATCATTGCCGACATTGAACACCAGCCACGCCGCAAGCAAATTTCAAACAACGCTCTCATAATGCGTCCCAAGCTTGCACTTATGTAGGCACTATCAACAATAAGAGAAAACCCATCCAAGTAACCTTGAGATATATAGACCTGAGAAAAATAAAGCAATTACGTAATCGCGTGCATACCCGCTACATATTACTCACTTGTATAAGAACGTTGATTTTTCCATATTTGCTCTCAGCCCCACCATAAGCTTCCAAAGGGCAAGAGGTATGGAGAAGCTTAGCTATTTCTTGTTGCTCTTCTTCCCTCACCATAATGTTTTCAAATTCAGATGAATGCGAGACCAGCTTAAAAAGCTGCAAACGTAGGCACGAAGAACGTCAATTTGTACAAACAACAAAAATAGGTACCTCGCTATCACTCATATGCTGCTTAAGCATCTCGTTGTAAGTTTCCACACTCCTGTATTGAAGATAAAAATGGCTTGCAACACGGCCCAAGTCCGTGACATAGAAGTTGCCACTTTTTTCATCAAAACGTAACATTTTTGCCTTATTCAGCGCACGAGCAGCATCTACAATTAGAGCATTTCGTTTCGCAACAAGTTGAGGATCATTCATGGCCTATGAACCACATTACATTTAATAATAAGTTAAGTAAGAAAAGGCTCATACCTCATTCCATTCCAATCCATAAGCTAGCGGGCTGGCCGTCATTCGCACGAACAAATATGTGTAGCTGAGCCAAGTTGACGCTTCACGAACGTTAGTAACAGTTCCAAGAACCACTTCCGCGTTCAAGTTATCTTTCAAAGCGCTTACAAACTGCAAGTGATAAGCAGGTTGAAAAACTAAAGGTATGAAAGTAAACATTGATCTTACTTGGCTCTCAATGGGTAATTGGTGCGTCATCAATCGCAAATAATGTGCAAGCTTGTCATGGGTAGTAATAATAATTCCTTCTCCACTTGAATCAAACTGCGGACGCCCTGCGCGTCCAAAAATCTAAAAAAGCCATTTCAATCTCAAGTCAAGAGAAGTTCGTTGTATACCTGCATGACATCAAGAATGCCGAGTTCTCGCCAACCACCAGCTTTTGGATCGTATAGTTGAGTACCCTGTTTCCAATTTTAAGAGTTAGACAACAAAAATGATAGCATTAATGTAGATGGCTGTTACCTTGATAATGACGGTATGAGCTGGTAGATTTACACCCCAGGCCAATGTTGCAGTACAAACCAAAATCTGCAATATCAGACCCTTGAGGACAAGATTCTCGCAACTGACGGTATACCTTCAAGAGCCCTTCTGAAAAAAAACGTTCTGCCAAGTTTCTCTGAGAGCGTAGCATCCCAGCGTGATGAACTCCAAACCCGGACTGGAAGAGTTCCCAAAGCTCCTTGCTCTTTGAGTTCGAAGCTTCTCTCTGCGACAAAGAAAAACCAAGAACAATAAAATAATGCAGCCAGAAAAGTACCTTCATTATTCCATACTGAGGATGATCCATATTCAAGAAAAGGCCTATCTCGCCATTTCTTTGTGCTATATCAACCTTGAGTAAATGGTTAAAAAACCAAAAAAAGAAAAAAAAAAAACAACAAAACGAAAGGGCTGGTACCAGTATACGAGCAGTTTTCACGGTATCTTTCCGAGAATGCACAAAGACCATTGCTTGCTGATCGTGACGAACCGCCTCCAATATCTACACATTCAACGTTTATTATCAGCATGGATTCCTAAATTTGCTTGCCGAACCTTTCCGTAGCACACTTCATTCATAATACTATTGCGTAGCGCAAAGTTTGGTTCAGTGACGCCCACGTAGTTTTGCATCAGAGGCACTGGACGATAACTTGCATCAAAGTAGAACAACCCGGTTTCGGGACTCACCCTCAAAAACTTAGCCACCTAAGAAACAAAGTCTTTAGCTCAAGATCACTTATTTGTAAAAGCAAAAGAACCTCTATATAGTTTGGTAGAGTTGCTGAGAGGCCAACAATCCTGATCATGCTTTGACTTGATTCGACCTGTTCTCTAGTATATTAAACAATGTGACAATAAGAAAACCAAAGTAAGACCTGTCTCAATGTTCTCGCAACAAGTGCTTCAATGACGGCTCCACGATCATCGTTTAGAAGATGCACCTCGTCAATAATAAGCAACTTCACAAGAGTCGCGAGAGCCATATCACTGGTTTTTCGTGTGATCACATCCCACTTCTCCGGTGTGGTTACGATCATCTGCCAAGGAACGAGTCAGAATCAAAAGTTTGCTGGCAAGTTTAAGAACCTGCGTCTCTTCAAGCTCTCTCTTGGTGAGCTGCATGTCACCTGTAAGCTCCTTGACAACAACATTCAGTGGTGCAAGCCTTCGACCAAATGCTGCTGTTACTTCCGCTGCAAGTGCCTTTACAAGCGAAGATTAATCTAAATAACGACGAATCATTCTGATCACCTTCATTGGAGCAATGTAGACGATCTTGAACTCGCTTTTTTGTAGAACTCCAAACTTAAAGTGTTTCCTTATCTAAATAGAATGTGACTATAGACAAAACAGTCTATAAAAGTTTACTTACCTCATGTAGAACCGTGATCATGGCAATGTTAGTTTTTCCGGCTCCTGTCGGTGCACAGACCTGCCAAAGTATAAGAGGATACATGAACCATAATGAGTTTTTCGGGTACCAATATGTTTTCGTTGCTGTTATACGCTGTTGGAAAGATCCGGCTTTGAATGCGATTGAGGGTCTGGTACCCTTGGAAAGCTGCCTGTGATATGTCATCAAGCTCGGAAATTTTAACCTGTCCACCAAAGCAGAAACTTTTCAGCAGAGAAAAATCCATGTTATCCGTACCAGGAATTCTCCAGGCTTCAACGACGATGTTGGTGTGGGTGGTACTTGCACCTCTTCGTAGCCTTTGAAAACCTTTTTCACAGAACCCGGTGGAAGGGATGCCCCGGTCATGCCAGTGAAACCATCACCTTTCCCAACTAGACCTTCTATCCCTTCATCAGGCCTCTCGCTAGCATCAACTACGGCAGAAAATCCACCAGTCCAGTCGAGCTCCGATTCTTCCCCACGTTTTCCATGTCTCTTTTCCTCTTTTCGTCGCAGTTTATCGATCTGGCGATCTAAACTAGTCTGTACACTAACCTGAAACCATGAAAGGTAAGTTCAAGTTCGCTGCAGAAACTTAATACCTGAGTGCCATAGCTCGGTACACGTCCTTGGTTTGATTGAGAAGGATTTTCCAATTTCAAACGAGACAGACCCTTGTGAAACGCTTCCACGAGCTCTTTCCTGCACTGCAAGAAGTAAAACTTTAAACAACTGACCATCACAAAGATGGATGGAAAAACCTGGAGCAAAACTTGGATGTGCTCAAATCCGTTATCCCCCATAAGATCAAACAAGTAGCCGGCAATCTGTAAGAGAAGAAAGAAAAAAAAAAACAGCAAGAGAAAACATGAGAGCTTCCAAATTCATTCTTGTTACCTGATCTCCAGAGTCCGATGACTCCAGAACGCGACACACTGCAAAGGCTAGCTCGTCCCCAGACTCTTTGCATATGTCTTGCACCCATCGAAGATTCACAATGGCCGGAGGATCTTCCCTTGGCTTCGTGAATATCGTCTCAACTCGCTTCTCCTCCTTGCACGGCGCCCGAAAATCCAAATCGCTTCCAAACTCAACGCCGTCCGCCTCTCCTTCCTTGGCAGCCGACGGATAGTGCTGCCGCAACCGCTCCAAAATCCTCATCCGATCGAGGTAGGCCTTGTCCACGTCGAAGATCCGCCCATTCTCGTCGCCGGGAGATCGCAATGCGGCGGTGAGCCGGCGCGCCTTGAATCCAAGCATTACATCTGGAAACGAAGATCGCGAGAGCGCGGCATACCTGCGTCATCGCTCCCTCCATCTCTTAAACCCTAGAAGACCAGACTTAGAGCCATGTTAACATGGCCTCGAGATTAAGCTACCTTTAAACTACGTTTCCTTCAAACAAACTTTCACTTATGCATGGCATCACAGGCATATGTCCATCACCACGCTCAGCGGCTTTGCCAAGAGATTGCTCCTAAAGACTTTATTGAGGCCAGCCTTCTTTCGAGCTTGCTGGATGGACAGACCACAGACAGAGTCTCTTCTTCATCTCAGTTCTAGGCCTTTATCATTTGAAGAAATCCAGCATCTTTACAGACAACCAAGTTCAGGCTCTATAGTCATGCCAATTGTAATCTCAAGGAGAAATTGTTTTTTCTTGTACTTAGTATAAAACTATACGCAAATGTTCTGTTTGTTTTATTTTATTTTTATCTATCTAACCTCTGGCAACCATCCGATCTGAGGCCTGTTTTTCATAAAAAAATTGTGGATGTCCAACCAGAGATCGGCACAGCTTAACTAACGATTAGCTGGTGTGAAAAAGGAGAAATACAACACTATCCTCCCTTGGCAATTCACAGTGGACCTCCCTTGATTCAGGCTGCTCGCATCACACTGGGCAACTCTTCCTGGAGCTACGCCATACCTCCACATCTCCTGGAAAAGCTTCTGGCCCTGCTCAGATCCATCTCACAGCACTGCACGCTGCAATAACCAAGAGGAACGTAAATTCATCCGGCTTAGCACCCTCCTCTAGCAGCTCATCTCCACCACTTTGGCTGCATTGCCTTGGTGGCTAAAGCCTGCTATCAGCATGTTCCACAGAACCACATCCCTGGATATCACGGAGGAATTTAAGATGTGCTAAGCAGCAGATATACTTCCACACTTGCCATAGAAATCAATGACACTGTTTGTGATTTGCTCTCTAGTCCCCTCTTGCAGATCCCAAATGAACAAGATGGCCACCAAGCCAGAACCCTGGACTCAACACTGCAAGAGTTGCAAAGGAATGTGAAGCTTCTCTTCTTCTAACAGCTTGGCTTAAACTTCAACCAACAATTTAATCCACTCCTGCCAACAATGTGGGCACATTGTACTGACCCAACTGCCTTGCACTGCCGTGTCACTGCTTTGGGTCTGCCTCTCTGGCTCACACCAAGCTGTCATCACTAGACTCTTTGGAATATCCTCTTTTTCAAATATTCTATAGAATCTTGACACATCATCTTGAACCACCAGCAGGAGAAATTCCTGACAATGAAAGTCACATCCTCACAGACCTTCATAGAACACAATGAAGTCACAAGAAAACACGCAATGAAAACCAGGACAGAAAGCAGCAAATTCTCGTGGATCGAGCAAGGTCACATGGACGACAAACACAAAAAGCACAAAAAGGACCAAAAAAAAAACACTCTTCATCTTTTAAATTTTGATTTAATCTATATTTCCAAGTAAATTTGACCAAAATATAAATATAAATCTGAACACTAAAATCAATTTAAAAACACTTCTTAAACTCCGCAACTATAAAATTTGTCTGATGGATATGATGATAGATGTGTTTGTAGGTTAAATATACTTTTTCCTTGTTCTCCCTTTGTATAGGTATAGGATGAATTTTCATAGATTCTAACATTATACCTTTTGATAACTCAGTCACAACAATAAACTCTTTAACCATATCATTAATGTAATTTGTCTTTATAACTATGCATTTCAACTTATTTGCTACCTAGATTTTCTTTTGTACATTTTTCAAAATGGAAGATTTATATTGTATAGCTTTCCTATTTCTAACTGGTTGTGTACGTTGATCTAATATTGATATTTGTGGCATAACAGTATTAACAACAAGATTTGAGGAAGTCTTTAATTTGAAATTTACTCTTTCCAAACTTTCAATCTCTTCTTTCAAAAGATTGCAATTTTGCTCAACTAGCTACTTTTTGTAAACAACTAAAAAAAATAATTTGAAAGACAATTCATAAGAGTTTAAATATACAGGGAAAGGGCTCATGAACAAGAGTGCACCCCCTCTTTCCATCAATTAAAGATCTTAGGATATTTGGGGTTAAGTGTCCTTGGGTTTAAATAGTATTAAGCCGAGTGATCTCTCAGGAAATCTAAACTCAAGAGCTTATATTTGGTATTAGAGTGGGTCTTAAGTCTAACTTTATTGGTTAACTAAGAGAATCATATTATATGTTGAGATTGATATTTGGCAAGTCTAATTTGCCTCTCAATACATAAGGGTTTTTGTCAAGCCAATGCAAGACAGAACAAAAGAGAACTAAAAGCTAGGCCAAGTATGCTCAGCAAGAAATATATAGGAGTTCCTACTTTATGTCCATCTAACTAAGTACAGGTGCTAAACCCAATTTACTAACACTTGAACAAAAGGGACTAATAAAAAGAACCAACAATATTGACCTTTTGCTGTCATGGCAGTAAGGAAAGAATATCTGAAAGGATTAATTGACAGGTAGCTTTCGATATCCGAAGTCACATTTGTGACAACTTCCACTAAAAAGGAATATGAGACTAATTGAAAACAACTTTTTATGAGCTGATTAGCTTTTTTAAATTGGAAATGGTAATAATTACGTAAATTTACCCAATTTGCTTTCAGAATCTATTGTATTATCTTACACACAGGCAATAATGTCCTTTATTGTTAATTTTGTTTTCCCATCTTTATAGGATATTTCAGACCCTTATGTTGCATCTAATAGAGTCATACTTACCCCACTTAATGATGATACTTTTCTTATTAATAATGTTAGTCTTTTCCTTACCTAGTGATATACATATTTATAAAAATATTGACTTTGTTGATACTGAACACCTAGAAGATTATCCAGTTGAATTTCTAAATTCCATTACTCTTTTTGGTCTTTCACTACAGAAACTCTTGCTTAAAGAAGGTATTATCCTTATTCTATTAAAGAATATATGTCCATTGACTAGACTATGCCTCATACTTAAACATGCCTTACCAACAGTTCTAATTTCACACTTAAACATGCCTTACCAACAGTTCTAAACTGTGAAATTGTATTAGGCCAATTCAAAAGTTCCTCAAATCACACTTACACCTTTAAAAACAGAAATTCCATTTAAAATGTCCATAAGACAATTTCCAATGCATTTAGGGTATTGCCTTACAATCTCTAAATATCAAGGCCAAACATTTGACCGAGTAGTAATACACTTCCTTTCATCGTCTTCTCTCCACAACTTGTGTGTGAACTCTTCTCTATCTCCACAGCTTCACGCATTTATCGTGGCTGGCCGACGCAACCATGCCCGTCGCTGGCGACTGTGCCAAGGCCGCAATCAGGCCCTGGTGCGCAGGGATTGTCATGCTTTTGTTCTCGACCATGTTCCACAGCTCCAGAGACTGCGAGACAGCGAAACGTTTACACAACTTTCGAAGAGATTTATCGGTTTCCCTACCTCATAGCAGCCGATGATGAGTAGCGACGGATGGCTCGGGTGGAAGACACAGGAATGGAACTTGTTCTCGTTCGAGCATAGCTCGTAAACGCATTCTCCATCGCCACCGGAGCGGAGAGTCCAGACTCGGACTGAGTCCTTGCTGACGGAAGCCAAGTAGTCACCGGTTTGATCCCAGCATATGGAATGCACTGGCTTTGTGTGCCTCTGGAAGACGGACAGACTCGGTGGTTTGGAAAAAACTCGTATTGATTCGTTTACCTGAAGAGAATGCCTGCATGTCTCGGCATCGACATCGAAGATAGAAACTAGGTTCTCGGCGGCGGCAGCAAGAAGCCTGCCATGACGCGGTTGAAACCGCATTTGAGTCATGCCACCCTGTGAAGATCGACAAAAACCAGTCAACGAAACTCTCAAAGGTAAGAGCTATTCACCTTGAAGACTTTGGTGCAGATGCCCTGGCTTACACTCCAGTACCTGATCTCGCTATCACTGTCGCACGAACACAAGAGGTCTTTGTTCGCTGGATGGAAATCTAAGGACATGACCGATGTTTGATGGCAAGTAAAAGTGCGCAAGGAATAGCTTGGCTGCACGAAAATGAACAAGTCATTACCAAGAGATACGAATAATTCAAGAACTCACATTGTCTGCATGCCATACTCGTACAGTCTCGTCAAAGGATGATGTCGCTAACAGCATCGAATTTGGACTAAACCGAACATCGGTTATCAAAGACGTGTGTTCTTCCAATGTACTCCGGAGTTTTAGCGTGTCCATATTCCAGAGCACGGCCTCCATTGTAAGAGCTCAGAAAAGAAAACTCCCAAATGTGAAGCTCACCTTCTTTTCATGGCCAGCACTGGCCAATAGCTTTCCACTCGAAGAGAAATGGCAGCACATAACTTTATTTGTACTGGCACGAAGACAGCCCACCTCGTTGAACGTAAAATCTGCTACAAATAAAACCTTCAAAAAAAAAAAAGGACACACGAAACTCACCTTTGGACGCGTCGACATTAGGACTCGGCTTCGTACTGCTAAAGAGATCATCTCAATCAATCAATCCAAGCGTAAGAAACACGATCATTTCATCAAGAACCCAGATCACGATAGCGCGAGCTGGAACCACCTGCATTAGTGGCAGCAGCAGTAACTTACATCTTATCCGCCTCCCAGTTGCTCTGTGCCATGGCTTCTGGCACCGAATTGGCGCACGAGCAAGGTGCCGATCGATCAGAAGCTACTGTCGCCAAATGCCAGCCGAAATTTCGCCAGCGCCTACCCTAGCTAGTGCGAGAATGCCGCACGCCCTCGTCCGCCATAGCCACTCTCCGAAGAATGCGAGTGTTGGAGATGCCGAACCTGGCCCAAGCCTAGCTTGCAGATAATAACTTAACTATTCATATATAATAGAGTTTACTTAGTCCTAGATCATTGTTGTTGTTTGTTGACTTTACTTAGATAATAACTTAACTATTCATATATAATAGAGTTTACTTAGTCCTCTTTGCTGTTGTTCTTCTTGTTGTTATTGTTGACTTTGCTTAAATAACTTAAATGTTCATATATAATAGAGTCTACTTAGTCCTCTTGGCATGTAAATAATTGTTGAATATCAACTCTCTAATAATGGAAAGAACGCAGAGTGGTGGTCAAAGGGTACTCTCAAATCTTCTCGCACTAAGAACATAGGATAAGCAAAGCTGGGCTTTGAAAATTATGATGCCTTTGCATCTTGGAGTGGATACCTAGCTTTTCTACATCTTTTATCTCAAGCAGTATTACTTGGAGGTGCAGTTCTTCTTTTGTTCATGCTCATCAAAAAGTAATTGTAAGCTAAAATTTTTAGGAGAGAAAGCAACTGGCTGGCCTGTGGGGAAAGAAATGGGACATGATCCCTATTCAAACAGCTCCAGTGATAGTGGGAGTAGTACTGATGTGAATGATGATGATGATGTGATCAAAAAAGCAAAAGGCAAACCAAGTGAAGCAAGGATTACTGATTTGTTTCTCCCTCCCGAGAAAGAAACAAAGAAACCGAAGAAGAAAAAGAAGAAAGGTATGAAAGTCCTAAATAATCCTACAAGTTTAAGAGAACTCTAGTAAGAAGCCTTTTTGTTTGCACAACACTTTATATTTGTTTCTTGCAGGGGGAACTTCAAGAGCAAGAAATGACATAAAAAATATCTAGGAGTTCTTCTCTCAAGATTTTTCCCATTGTGGTTTTTTTCCTTGAGGGTCTAACTCCTTACATTTAACTTCCTACTTATTTTAAATGAAACTCAACTTTTATAATGCTTTGGGTTATCTTCAACAATTCATGGAATTATTGGAAATCAAAAGTAAACCTGAAGGACTGCGATGCAAGATGAAGTTGTTATGATCTAGTGCAAAAAGATAGAGATATAGTCACCCTAAACTATGCTACGCCACCTCTTGAGGTTCCTCACCACCCATCCACCCCCAAGCTACCTCAAAAGCTCCACTACGCCACCAATTCCTCAACTTACATAGCTCCTTGTGCAATATCTTCCTCACCAACGTACTCCCTATGTAACAATTTCATCACCACTTTCATATCTCTTGTGCAACAAACGATCATGATTAGGCCTATTGTTCTCTACACAAAGCAAAAGAATACTCGCTCTACTATGAGCCCTAGGGTAGGTTAAATCCCTTACCCTAACATGCCTTAATATACCATTCAACCTCCCTTTGACCGACATTCACATGGTCAAAGTTGACACTTAACAATTCTTCCCCCCCAACAAAGTCCTTGTCCCAAGGACAAGTTGTACCAGTGATCACCCTTTCTGGGGAACCCTGCTCAAGCTCTTGGACCATCTTCCATAGCTGTAGGAGGCATTGGGCTCATCACTCCAAGATAATACACCTTTCAACTAGTTAACATAAAATACCGGATGAGTTTTCAACCCAGCTAGCAGCTGCACCTGATAAGCTGCTTTACCAATGCGCTCCAATATTTTATATGGACCAGCATATCAATGGGAAAGTTTGTCATTCTTCCTTGTCTGTAAATGCACCAAGGTGTTCCACTGCTCACTTGATGGAAAGATCACTTGCACAAAGATAAGATCACCCACCTTATATTTCCGGAATTGACGATGCTCATTAGCAAACTTGTCCGCTCTATCCTGAGCTGCCTACAAATTTCGTTTGCACACCACTAGAATCTCATCAAGTTTTGTGGTTAAATCAATCACCTCTAAATCAAGTTTATCTTGAACGTTCTTACTCAAATGCAATCCCAACTCCATATTTGTTTGGGGATGCCTTTTAAATATGGCAAAGTAAGGACGTAACTTAGTTCCACTGTGTTGGCTATTGTTATAATTAAATTGCACGAACGGAAGATATAGATCCTATTGTCCTTGCCTTTGACCAACGCTACAACATAATATATCCTCCACCACCTGATTCACACATTCAGTTTGCCCATTCATCTGAGGGTGATCTCCACTCAAGAGTTTCAAAGTCACTTGCATAGCCTTCGTAAAGCTCTTCCAAAATCCACTTGTGAACTTTGAATCTTGATCACCAATGATGTCCTCCAGCAAACCAAAATCAGAAAAAACCTTCTCCAAGTAGACCGCAGCCAAGTTTGAGGCAGTGACTGTCTTCTAAAGAGCCAACAACCACACATACTTTGTCAACTAATCTATAATAACCCATACTTTCTCCTTTTGCCTTTGTGTTTGTGGCAAACAAGTGATGAAGTCAATAGAAATATTACACTAACAACTTTGAGGAATAGATAAAGGTTGCAAAAGTCTCCTCGGCCTCTCTCATGGTACCTTAACCCGCTGATAGAATTCACATGATTTACAATACTCGAGGATATCAATCTTCATATTCCTCCAATAAAAATTGCGCTTAATCAACTCATACATTTTCTTCCCCCCAAAATGACCGGCCTCTAGACGATCATGATAGTGGTATAAAACTTGAGTAATTAATGCATCCACCCATGGCAAATATATATGGCCATTATAGTAAAGAATCCCATCCACCAATGAGAAAGGGGCGTCCATCTGGTCTCGTAAAAAGACTACCTTAGCATCTTGAGTTTGAGTATGCTCAACCAACTACCTAAACTCACTACCCACTTTACTCAAATGATGACAAAACCGTGTTTGTAATGCCGTCACATGACGAACACAAGATAAAGCATCTGCCACCACATTTGATTTTCCCGGATGATACTCAATAGAAAACTCCCCAAACTCCATGAGTTTGACCATCCAATGAACTTGCTTAGTGTTCAACTCCTTCTATGTGAAAAGATACACAAGTGGTTTGTGATCCGTCAACACCACAAACACTGCACTATAAAGATAATGCCACCACGTCCGCAAAGCATAAACAATAGAGAGTAACTCTTGTTCATATGTGGAACAACGTTGTTCCGCAGGATTCAAAGTTCAACTCTTACGATAAGCTATCCCTCTTGCATGAGAACTCCTCCTAATGCATAACCACTTGCATCGCATGTCACATCGTAAGGTTTTGATGGATCAGCAATGCAAAGCACTAGAGTCTCGCTCAATAATTGTTTCAACGCCACAAAACTCTCCTCTTACGGCTTCTTCCACTCGAATGGCACGTTCTTACACAACAACCGTGTCAAAGGAATAGCCACCTCTGCAAACATATGCTGGAAATATCGGTAGTAACTAGCTATACCAAGAAAATTGCGTAATTTAGCCACTATAGTCGGTGTAGGCTAGTTTTCCACCACAGCCACCTTCCTTAGATCCGTCTTGACACCCCACACTTGGCAGTACGCCCAAGTCAACCCTTCCGGCCAAGGGTCCATGGCAACTAAGACTGGGTGTCCCCATCTCATTCATCACATCTTTGGTGCCACTTGCACCAAAGTGTTCAACTTAGATATACCAAGCTTTTACATCAAGCAATCTAACCGTGTATCACGACTTTGGGGCATCCCTTGTTTGGTGGTGTGCCCAAGCTAGTCTCCTTACTGAGAGTCCATGACCATCGAAAAATGAGTGTCCTCATATTTCAACCCATCACCATGCCCTAGTGAGTTGGGACTCGAACCCAAGCACTAAAGGGTTGGGACTCAAACCCAACCTCTGTATATGCATCTACGGATGGCATCACCCAAGATGTCTGGTGTGACTCCCCATGCTTACTTAAAGTGCGCTACAAATCACAGTTTAGGAACCTAGTTCCTCTACACTGCCAACTTCGATAGTATCTCGCCAAACTGAGAAAGGAACAAACATCTGATACAGTGATTGGGACTTCCCAAGACTTCACCTCTTCCACCTTCTTTGAATCCACCTTAATTACACCACCACCAACTATATGTTTGAGAAAGTTTATGTGCAATTGTCCAAAAGCACATTTACTTTCTTTAGCATACAATTTGTATTCATGTGATTTCTAAAACACCAGCTCCAAGTGTTTCAAATGATCCTCCAATGTTTCACTGAAAACTAAAACATCTCCAAATATAATCTCCAAATATTCTATCCATCATAGTGCTGAACATTGCTAGAGCATTGCATAACGGCATGACAAGGAACTCATAAGATCTATATCGAGTCTTAAAGAATGTCTTCTCCACATCCTGATCTGCCACCCATATTTGATGATACCCGGATCGCAAATCAAGTTGCATAAAATACTTAGTCTTTTAGAGTTGGTTAAACAATTCATCAATGCAAAGCAAAAAGTAATTATTTTGACCATGATCTTGTTGAGTGCTCGATAGTTGATACATATCCTCATGGTTCCATCCTTTTTCATAACAAAAAGGGCTGGTGCTCCATAAGTGACTTGCTTAGTCAGATATGACCTTTGTCAAGAAGCTCCATAAGTTACTTCTTGAGTTCAACTATCTCCTTGATGTTCAAACAATATGGAGCTTTTGTAGGTGGTTTAGAACCCAAAATGACCTCAATCCGATAATCAATCTCACAACTAGGAGGTAGCTATGGCGGCAAATCCTTCGGGAAGATATCCTGATTCCGTGCCAATA